TATTGCCATTTTCACAACATTGAGTCTTCCTATCCATGAGCAAGGGATATTCTTCCACTTCTCAAGATCTCTTTTTGTTTCTTGTGGTTATGTTTTGTCATTTTCTCAGCATTTCTTCCCCTAGTTTTGGCTTCTTTTCACTCCATTAAATCTCTTCAGACATCCATTTTGGTGTTTTCTTTATTCCTGTTTTTCTAGGGTGTTTGTTTTGTTTTGTTTATTCCAGTTTGAGAACCATTTTACACAAAGTCAAAGTCACAGTTCAGAACTCAGGGTAGAAAATGGGGTGGGATGTCAGCTCAGGAGATGTCCATGGTCTCGCCTTGGAGCTCCTTAAAGAGGAAGGCGTCCTAGTACTCCTTCATGTACTATGTGGAGTGTGACTCGTCCAGGAACAGCGAATAGACCCTCTTGTTGTCGTCCACCTGCACCTCTGTGCCTTTGTGCCTTTGGCACACCAGCTGGCGGCAGTGATGGCATAGCACAGCGAGGTTTCCAGCCCAATGCGAGGCAGCACCATGTAGGCGTCCTCGCTCATCTTCACGTTCTCCTCCTCACACTGTATGCAGAGGATCTGCTTCATGTCCTTCTTGCCTTAGGGAGAAGTAGAGATGATGACCAGCCATTCAAGTAGGTCAATGGGAATACTGTGCAGGCTCTGGGAGCAGGTGCCCTGGATACGCGTGATGCCACAGTTGGTGGCCATGAAGAGGACTAGTTGAGAAAGGAGAAGCTCTCAATGTCCAGCACGTGGACCTCGTTGATGAACAGCACCTGGAGATGATCTCGGCCTTGCCCGCTTCTCGCCACTCAGCCACCTTGGCATTGGACTTCTGACTCGATCTCCCCTGTGTTGCCCTAGAAGAGTACCAGGAAGCCCTGTATGTGTTGAGTTGCTGACACTGAACTCGTGCAGACACACGGTGCGCACCACCTCTTTGCCCTTCTGCAGCTCCCCATACAGGCACTGCACCAACTGGGAGCCCATAACATCATAGTCTCGGGTTGCGTGAAGGAGTGGTCCAGTCCTGAGATCTTGCCTGTGGCCTTGTCTATGGTGATCACCTCCCAAGCCTGGACCTTATCCTTGGTCAGGGACTCTATTATCTTGGTGCCCAGGTCATAGATGGTCTCCATCACTGTGGTCTTTAGGGTCAGTTTGCCCACCTTGGAGCCCGTCCCCGTGGCTGGCCAGTCAATCTGGATCTCTACTCCCTCCCCTTCAATGATGCCCGTCTCTTCCTTGATGTGGACGCAGATGGAGCGGTTGAAGGCCTGAGTCAGGGCCTTGGCCTTGCTCATCTCCAGGGAGAGGATCTTGCTGTCCGCAATGGCTGTGAAAAGGGTATCTGGGCCCAGGGCTCGGGCCATGCCCATGGCGATGAGGACCATCCGCCCTGCCATCCTTCCTTCTCAGATCGTCTCCAGCACCACACCTGCCGCTCGCCAGGCCACCAGCTTCTCCAACCATGTCCTGCGAGGCCTGCAGTGGCTCCAGGCACCATCCAGCCCCAGGCCCCGATGTGGGAGTGAGCACCAACGTTCAATCCTCGTCACATCGCGGATCCCTGGAATGTTGGTGGTGGCCGCCATGCTTGCCATGATGCTCTTAACCACACCTTCCTGGTTTTTATAATGACATTTTCCTTTTTTTCATAGATCAATGTCCTTGATGTCATCCCACAATTCTGGTCTTTAGTCAGTAGTGTTCAGAAATATTTCCTCTCTCCTTTGCTCATATGCTTTTATCTTGTTTAGAATTTTTTTCTCTTTACTTTCTTTTTATCTTCAGCAACTCCCTATTGTCCTTTCTATAAACCCACCTTACTATTCAGCCTCTGTAATCTGTCTCAAGATCATATAAATATGGTCTTGTAGTAATTAATGAAAATTAGAAAAAAATGATAAAGGTATAATATGGAAATAGTAAAGCTTTTAATTTTAAAAATCTGGGATAAAGCCCATTTTTTTTAATATAGCATATTCTTCCTGTTTAATTTTTTCTCAGTCATTCATTGTTGCACATTTTCCTCCCCACCCCCATTCATTTTTCTCTTTGAAAAGAAAAGGGGGGAAATTCTTTCATTATTATACAATCCCCACCCACCCCCAAGTCCACAGTCCACTTTACTATGCGATAAAGTCCATTTTTAACAGAACAATAAATTTTTAAAATAAATTTTTAAATTTTAATTGTCATTTTAACAAAAGCTTACAGAAAAGTTAAATTTTCATTCATTCATTGTTGCACATTTTACCCCCTCACCCTCCTTTCCCCCTCCCAAAGTTGACTTTTTTCTTTTCATTATTTACAAAATTCTAATACAAACTTGAACAAATTCTTTCTATTTCCTCACACACACCCCAATCAAATTGTATAACCACTGTACACCCACATCCCTCTGCTTCTAGCCTCTCCCACTCCTCCTGGATCCTTATACTCATTCTACAATAATGGTCTTATACAATATTTTTCCTTGTGGGACTGAGTTAGTTCACTCAGCATAATGCCCTTCAGTCCCTCCCAAGTTAGGTAATAATTTACAAAGTTATTGCTCCTGTGTGCTGCATAGTATTCCATTGTTGAGTGTACCATAATTTCTCAATCCATTCATTTGTGGTTGGACATTTGGGCTTTTTCTATGTTCTTGCAATGGTGAATAATGCTGCTATGAACATTAGTGTTCAAATCTCAGTTTGTGCCTCAGTTCTCATATTGTCAAGGTATATTCCAAGTAGTATAGTAGATGGGTTATATGGAATTTCTATGTTCAGCTTTTTAAGGAAGCACCAAACTGCCTTCCAGAATGGTTGTACCATTTTACAATGCCACCAACAATGTATAAGAGTTCCTTTCTTGCCACATCCTCTCCAACATCTATTACTTGCTGCCCTGTTGAACTTTGCCACTCTTACTGGAGTGAGATGGTACCTCATTGTGGCTTTGATTTGCATATCTCTTATTGCCAATTGCCAATGATTTGGAGCATTTATTCATGTGTCTGTTTGCAATTGGAATATCTTCCTCTTTGAAAATTCTGTCTTTAAAAAAAATACAGAATCAAGGAGAAGAATGGTCCAAAAGGAATATATGATTAGGTATTGTATGCATGACAACAGTCTGGAACAAGAGGTACATTGTAAGGTGAACTGGGGGGATGCTGCACATTGTAGAAAATGTGTGATAATGAAGTAATGAATAAAAACTAAGAAAAAACATTGAAAACCTCTTTATCTTAAAAAAAAAACCCACAACCAAAACCCAAAACAGAACACCAACCCCACCACAGAATCAAATGCAAGAAATCAAAAGGGCATCATTTAAGGATGAAGCACAGATGACAAGAAGGGTTAAGAAAGAAGTACAAATGAAAAAGGTAACAATACGTAGGAAGTGGATAGAATGCTGTTACTTTGTGGAGCTTGCAATTAATGCCATAAAACAAAAAGCATTGTTCTGTGGGAATCCAATTTACTTCATCAGCTCTCAGTCAAATCACAACAAAAGTTGAAAATCAGTAAGTAAATGAGTAAGATGAAAAAGTCAGATTTTATGAATCTCAAAATATAATAATGAGTAGTATATTAATTACTAATAGAGTTAATTATATCATTATATCAATATATAGCATTTTATAGCTACCTTCCTCTATTTCTTAGTAAAGAATATGTAATTGTCCATTTTAACAAGATCTAGTGTTTTTCTTTTTCATATGTGTTCCGTCTCATGAGTGGGGAGTTGTGTTTTGAGATTTTTTTCCTCCGCTGTGCAACCCGCTTCAGTGCTTGCAGCCTATGAGCAAGGAGGCCAAGCAATGGTTCAGGGTTACTGTTCACTCTGACAAGGAACACAATGAGAGAGACCTATGGGGTCAGGTCTGCCATAAATGCAAATCCATGCCTACAAGTTGTTGTTTTAAAGCATATGTTATAGATTGTGCTACATAAATTTCTGTATGGAAAAATTAGCAGATATTAAGAGGTATCTGATAATATTTTCTTTGTACTTTGAGGAAATATTAATTCTTTTGTATTTTCTTTCTATTTAGGCCAATTTGCGTAAGAGAATGACTCATTCAGTGCAAACGGATCTTAGTCACATGAGAAGAGAAAATATTTCACAGGTGTACCTTCCAAAGAATGCTGGCACCCAATGTAAGCAGGAAGGCAGCACCCGAGTCCCGAGGCCCCAAATTTACATAGCTGGTCTCCGAGGGGGACTAAATAAAACCACCCACGGAGTCAAGGTGAACTTAACCAGGGCTGTTGATGAAACCTAGTTGGAGACAGCATTTTAAGAGTACCTGCTACCTAATTAAGGACAGTGATATATAGATCTGGCACATTCCAGATTGTGGAAATATTTATGGAGTTCTCATTTCTATGTACTGTGTTGTCAAACTGCTTCAAAATTTAAACAATTTCTTTTGTGTAATACTATTTCATCCTATTAAAATTGGAAGGTAAAACTCTGTTCATTCATTTTCGTTTGTTAGAAAAAGTTTGCTATCACTAAGATTGACATTCTGATGCTATTCAATATTAGTATATTTTAAAATTATTATTGCGGAAATATTTATTTAAAAAAATAATATTTAAGCCTAGTAAATATTTCCAACCTTTCTCACTGTTGTTGTTCTTGTGTACCACTGAGTAGAAACTGACCCATAGCTGACCCTCCAGTGGGATTTTAGAGGCAGACAACCACACGAGAGGAGATTTTGTCCATCTTTCTTCTGCAGAAGAGCTGGTGGATTTGAACTGCATACTTTTGCATTGGTAACATAATTCCTTACCCCTAACCCACCAAACTTCCCATTAACTATTAAAATTTAACACATATTCACTTGATACAACTTTACTAATGTATGGCAGTTAGGATAAGCTTCAAAATTATGTGCTTGAAAAATTTTGCATAAGGGTAGAATGCCTGGCAACACTAAATTATCCCTCAGACTGTAGTTGTGCTTCCAGTTCTGCAGTTTCATCATTGAAGGCTTTGCACCTCATTCTTTTTGTCTTATGTGCATGATTTCTCCACAAAGACAATGTATTTTGGGTCCCAGTATTGGTAGAGGTGGTTGCTGAGAAGTTAATTCCCGTGCATAGTAAGCAAATATGTGCAAAATCAGAACTATTCTGTGGAGTTTTCACACAAGTAATCCAGCCTAAAATATAAAGTTGGAGTGAAAGGGTGTTATCTATATGCATAGAAGGAAGGCCTGTTAATACTACTGTTATAAGAAAAATAGGCACCAATAACTAAAGCAAAACAGGAGGACATAGAGGATTTCTACCAGCTTTTGCAATCTGAAATTGACAAAACATGCACTCAAGATTCATTAATAATTATTGGTGACTGGAATGCAAAAGTTGGAAACAATGAAGGAGGAGGAATGGTAATCAAAAAGTAAAAGTCTTAGTGGCAAAAGTGCAGTGGGACATCAAATGATTAAAATTTGTACAGTCAATGATTTAGTCACAGCAAATACTTTTTAAAAAAACACAAAGGGCATCTTTCCAAAGTCACCTGATGGACTGCATGGGAATCAGATTGACTACAACTGTGAAAAGAATCATTGGAGAATCATTATCAGAGGTTAAACCAGGCCAAGTCATTACTGTGGAACAAACATAAATTACTCATGTGCAAGTTCAAATTGAAGCTGAAGAAAATTATTAAAAGGCCACAAGAACCAAAATAAAACCTTGAGTATACCCTGGCTGAATTTGAAGATCGTGTCCAAGATAGGTTTCAGGCACAGAACACTAATGATTGAAGACCAAATGTGTTATGGGATAACATCAAAGATATCATCCATGAAGAGAGCAAAATGTCATTACAAAGACAGAAGAAGAAAAAAAGGACCAAAATGGATGTCAGATGAGACTCTGAAAATTGCACTAGAGCTTCGAAAAGCCAAACCAAAGTAAAGGAATACCAAAGTAAAAAAAAGATGAACAGAAGAAGATTTCAAAGGACAGCTTGAGAAGACAAAGCAAACATTATAATGGAATATGCATTGAACTGGAGTTAGAAAAGAAAAAGGAAAGAATTCTCTTGACATTTCTTTTTTGTTTGTTTAAATTTTATTTTATTTTATTATTTTTTGTGTATGTACTGTCAAATCAGATCTGACTGGTAAAGGAGGAGATTGCGGATAACATTTCTAAAGTTAAAAGAAAGATAAATTCAAGCCACAAGTTGCAATACTGAAAGGTACTGTGGGCAAAATCCAGGAAGCATCTAGAGAAGATGAAAAGAAAACACAGAGTCACTGTACCAAAGAGAATTAGTTGACACTGAACAATTTCAGGAAAATAAAATAAATAAGAGCCAGTGGTAATGAAGGATGAAGTTCAAACTACACTGAATGCATTGGGAAAAAAATAAAGCCCCAGAAATGGACAGAATACCAATTGATATGTTTCAGCTAACTGATGAAGCCCTAGATGGGCTCATTAGTTTATGCCAGAAAATTTGGAGGACAGCAGGTTGGTTGGTTCATTGAAAGAGATCCATATTTGTTTCCATTTCTGAGAAAGGTGGTCCAACAGAAGTATAAACTATCAAGCAATATCATTAATGTCAAATGCAAGCAAAATATTGCTGAAGATCATCCAAAACTGGCTACAACAGTCCATTAACAGAGAAATGTTGAAGTATAAGCTGGGTTTAGAAGAGGCTGTGGCAGCAGGGGTATAATTGTTGATATCACATAGATCCTGGATGAAAGTGTAGAATACCAGAGAATATCTATTTGTGTTTTATATACTATGCAAAAGCATTTGACTGTGTGGATCATAACAAACTATGGCTAACATAGAGAAGAATGGGAATCCCAGAACACTTAATTATGCTCGTATGCAACTTACATAGCTAGAGTACTGCTTCTTACTCAAGCAGTTGTCCAAATGGAGCAAGGGAACACTGCATGTTTTAAAATCAAGAAAAGGTATAGCATTTCTCCATACCTATTAAAATTTTATGCTGAGCAAATAATTTGAGAAGCTGGATTCTATGAAGAAGAATGTGTCATCAGGGTTAGATGAAGTCTCCTCAACATCCTGCATCATACAGATGACACACCCTTGCTTGCTGCAAGTTATGAAGGTTTGAAATGCCTATTTTAGAAGATCAAAGACTAAAGTCTTCAATATGGATTGCATCTCAATATCAGTAAGACAAAACCCTCACCACTGGCCAACAGGCAATATCATGCTAGATGGAGAAAGAATTGAAATTGTAAATTATTTCATCTTAGTTGAATTCATAATCAACATCCTTGGTACCAACTGTCAGGAAATTAAAAGCTGTTGTGCTGGGCAAGTCCACTGTCAGGATTCTCTCTAACGTAATGAAAAGCAATGATGTTAGTTTGAAGACTAAGGTGCATCTGATTCAAGCCATGGTCATTTCAATCACTTATTCTCCATCTGAGAGCAGACAATGAATAAGGATGACAGATTTATTGATGCCTTTGACTTGTGGTGTCAGAGAAGAGTACTGACTATTCCATGGCCTGCCAAAAGAACAGATACGTCTTAGAAAATTTGCAACCAGAATATTCCTTGAAAGCAAGCATGGCAAATATTAATCTAAAATACTTTGGGCATGTTGTTAGGAGAAACTATTTTTTGGAAAGGAGAATTGTTCTTGGAAAGGTGGAGGCTCAGGGAAAGAGAAGACTCTCAATGAGATGGATTGACACAGTGACTGCAACAGTGGTCTCAAGTGTGTCAGAGATGGTGAGGATAGCAGAGGATAGGACAGGGTTCAGACCTGTTGTTCATAGGGTCACTCTGAGTTGTATTCGACATAATGACACCTAACAACATCAACAACAGCATAGAAGTTTCATGGCTGTGATTTTTTGAAAGCACGTTGCCAACCCTGTCTTCTATCAGGCATCTGGGCAGGTTTGAACCACCAACCTTTGACTACTATTTAAGCATTTAACATATGTTTCCACTGTAGGACCCTCTGGTGTATGAATTGTAAACAGTTCTCTTTTAGAGTTGTAGTTTTATTACTGTTTTGCTAACTTCTAATACAAACCTGTGGACAATAAAGGATCCAGGATGGAATGTCTTACTTTAACTTACTTTAGTTGCTAGAGGGTTATTTATATTTTACTTATTTTTTTCTACACAAGTTATTTTGTGGTGTTCAAATGGCTTTTCTAAATATTCACTTTAACTTTGCTATGTGTATGGGTGGGAATAAATTAATAGGTATGTTAGGCTGTCCACAAGGGGATTGACTGGTTTTACCACTAAATCGAGCAGGTTCAGTGATAGATTTTGAGAATCTCACCACGAGCAAGGAAGTAGAGAATGCAGTGCACCATTCAGGACCAGCTGGACCTTTGGGAGGGTACAGCTGCCACAGCAGAGAACCAGAGACCTGACTTGAGACAAAGCTGACCTTGAGACTACTGCCCTGATCTGGAACCTTCACCCACTTTTGTTAGAGGACTGAGGGTGGAGCCATAACCAGCAGATCTAAGAGCTTTGTAACACTGACCTAAAGTTATAAGGTTGAAGACTACAGGACCTGAAAGCACGCTTTAGAAACTGTCTTCACTGAGAAATTGTATCCTGTTAACTTCCCTAAAAAACCCTATAATTGTATGATTGCATGTGTTCTGTGATAGTAATTCAGTAAACCAGTAAGACTGGTGTTGGAATTAGAAGGAGGTACAGAAGAATGGGGGACATGTCTGTCCTCATGGGAGTTGGATTTGTGGTGTGTCTATTGTTGCTGGGGACAGTTCCCCTTTGTGGAGTTACTAGAGGACTACCAGTTCTTCTTTGTTCCCACTTTTACATTCCAATTCCCCATTATCTTTAATGAGACTTGATTACATGTTTGCTCAATTTCAGACTGCAATTATTGGTCGAAACCTCAATTTTCTTATATTTGGCCAAAGTTTTTGGTGGATATATTTAATTAATGGTTATATTAGCAGGTCTTCCTTCTATGCATATGGATAGTATTCTATCACTCACAGCATTGTACTTCAGGATTAATCTTGAAATGGTCTTTTTTTACTATGAGGGTGCTTGCTATAAAAGATCAAAGACTAAAACCTGTGATATGAATTGCATCTCAATAGCAAAGAAAAGAAAAAACTATCCACTGGGCCAAAAAATAACATCATGATAGATGAAGAAAAGATTGAAGTTGTCAATGATTTCATCTTCTGTGGATCCATAATCAATACCACTACCAGCAGTCAACAAATTAAAAAAAAACTTACCACACTGGGAAAATCTG